GGTTAAAAGCTGATCCTTCTTTGTACATATTGATGAGTGATGCTTCATATTACATTTCGAACATTTGTGAACACTCTTGCAGTGTGCTGCTTGATGTTTAGTTCCGGTACAATTAAAGCAAAGTTTCTTTTCTGCCAGTAGTTTCTTTCATTGATCGATGTCAGTTACAGTCAAGCAATCCTTCGAATTGTGGGTTTCAGCATCACAATAAACGCATGCTCGTTTACGACGATCACCGTCCTTTGCATAATAAAATCCAGACTTACGTTGTTTCTTGGTATTCCCGCTTTCATCAACTGGATTAATGTCTCTCCATTTCTTTAGCTCCACGATAAGGCGTGTAAGGTCCCAATCTTGCCAGCCCTCATTTCCTCTCACCAAATCTACTTTAATTTCTTTGATATCCTTCTGAGGTAAAAGGTAATCCTTCTATTTCTGCTCTAACTTTTGGCTCTAACCATTCTTTCAAAAACGCAAATTTGGTCACGGAAGGCACGTCAGATTTATCGATTTCTGCCTCAAATGTATTCCAAAACGGGAGCCAATTTTCAAAATTTCCATTAAATTTTGTCACAGGTAATTTAATAGACGTTGATTTTTCTTGTTCTTTCGCTGATGTCTCGATTGATTTCTGATGACAATTCAGTTTTGTGCTTCAATTCCCGCTTTTGTTCTTCATCCTTCGCTGCTTGTTCTAGCTCGAACTTTTGTTTCTCGAATTCAAGTTATTTTTGTCTTTTGATATCTATGGCAACACGTTCGGTTTCTTCGGCTGCTGCTCTCTCTGTTTCTTTAATCCCATTCAAACGCTCTCGTATTTCACTTACTTTGTTATCTGCTTCGCTAATTCTCGACTCGATTTCCTCAGCCCAGTTTTGTATATTTTCCTCAGAATCGTTGTCGGTAAATTTGATCTCCTCTATTTCCTCCTTTAAGGCATATATTGCTTGAATTTGGTTCGTTATTGAACTAATTTGTCGCGTTAAAACCTCGGTTTTAGTAGAATCAATAACTTCGTCAGACTTTTTGATCGCAAAGTTCAATGCTTTTATTTTCCCAGTTAATTCCAGTAACTTTTTGTCAACAATCTTAGACATATTCGATATAATATTTCACGGTCACGCTCGTCACAAATCACAACAAAATCTCGATATAAATGCTTTGGATTGTACCAAAACGCAGCTCAAATCGCGTCGGTAGGTGCCACTATGTTGGGGATTGCCTCCAAGTATCACCCAAAATAAATCACAACAAAACACAGTATAATATCTATTACAAAATCACAAGTTTCACAGCCACATGTTTTTAAGTTCTCTCCTGGAAAAAAAACAACAACCACCGGTATAATCCGGAACTTTCTGAAGTGTTTAAAGTTTGGACTCGCGCGTCCCACGCGTGAACATAAATACTAATTCTAGATTACGACAGTTTCCGACAACCTAAGCGGTATGCTCCATTAATGTATCGCCAGTGCAGAGCGGGAAATTTAATGCAAGAAAATGGCGGAAGCAGATCGAAATTTCTCAAATTGGCCAATGAGCTATTCCTGTTTTATATTCACATCATCCCACATTGAGGAACTTGATCCCCCCCTAGCAATTTGCAAGGTTGAAAATGTGGGGGCCGGGGTTGAAAAACATCGCCTTCTTTTGGAATTCCAAGGTTCCTCAACAGGGGTGTGTGGGATAAAAATTGGAATAGTATCCCAAATTAGTAAGATACACTCGTATAGACTAAGACCAGGTTGAATTTGTATGTAAACTGTTGAGTTAAAGTTTTATTTTGGAGGACAATAATTAAAAATTGCTATGTGGAACATGGATCAGCCATCTACAAGCAATTATTACAGTAATTGTCTTATCCAGAAATACCCCAGATTTTCAGTATTTTATCTCCAGAAATAAGAGATTAATCTCAAGAAATTTTCTATCAGATCTCCAGATTCGTTGCGGTTGGAGGTTGGCAGGTCTGGAATAGGCCAAAAAATGGCATTGGCGCTAAAGGCCACAAACTGCTAACATGAAATTCGCAAGGCTAACAAGTCAAAGCTTGGTGTACCCATGAAATCTGTTGGCTTGCTCTGATATGCAATTAACTGCCCTTTACCAGGAATAATACACATCTGTGCACACTTAAGTAAAACTACGGTTTCTTTAATAAATGAAGCATACCGCCCTGGCCCGGGCATATTCGTAGCCAAAAATGGGGAACAATAAGCGGGCATATTCGTAGCCAATGTGGAACAATAAGCGTGCATTTAGCTTTATATAACTAAAGATACTGGCGGGCACAACCAATTTGTGTTGTTGGACCAATTTTGAGTAAAACAATCAACCGCCTCCACTTCTGGACACCAAAAACGTGAATTAATCGCGGCAATTGCTTATTATTACTGGAGGCAAACCGATCGATAGTGAAAGGACCCCATTTAGCATGTAATAAGTTGAATAAATGTGGTTGTAACTGCCAATCATCTAAATCGGTTATTTTGCTTAATGCATCAGCAATCTGATTTTTTGTTTGAGGTATCCATTGCGATTCAATCCGTATGTCATTGAGAAAAACAAATGTTGAAAATTTCAACTGCAATGTGTTGAAGATATTAATATACACCTAGTCATCCATGGACTTTTTATTTTAATTACCTCTGCCAGGAGGTTATGTAATCATCTGGTTACCTCCGCCAGGAGGTTATGTAATCATCTGGGTTTGTATGTGTGTACATGTGTGTGTGTTTGTCTGTGAGCATGATAACTCAAGACATACCAAACATATTCATACAAAATTTTTTGAATGCATTTCCCATCAGCTAAGGAAGAACTGATTAAATTTTGGTTGAATTTGGTTAAAAATTGAATGAGAAATGAACAAAATTTTGTTTTGCTTTTCCCGGTCAATTAAAAAAAATTACGGAATGCGTAATTAGGATAAGACAATAATGAGATGATAAACCTCATTAAGCTTCAAGATTTTTTAATGGCACTATTTTCATTAGATTAATTACAAGCAGTTATATGGAATAGATAATAGAACGAAAAGAAAAGGAAGATAAAATCAATATAGTGTTAGTGCACAGTGGTCAAAGGAGCATAGCTTTCTAGCTTCAGCCTTCATTATCTATTGTTAAACAAGGCTTACGGAGTTACGCATTATTGTGTTTAGCAAAGTGCCAGTCCATTCAAATTCTACTAATATTAGATTACTTCAATACAGGGTGTGTAAAAAAAACATGCAACCTCGGAATTTCCCAAGAAATCGACATTGTTTTAAAGACAAAAGATTTTAGCTGCCTGGGAATTTAAAATAGCACAACTGTCAAAATTACTGCACGCACGAGTGCTAAAGCAAAATTTATGCATTTATTTAATGACACTTAATAAGTTTTTATTTTACAACTACTGTACAGTAACAGTACAACAACAGTAATATGATCTATTAGCAATTCCATTTCAATTTGCGGGGGCCTAAAATCTTTTATGCTTAAGAATTGCAAAGGTTGCATTTCACTTCTGAGTAGCGGTTGGAGGTATGCAGTCTCTGAGTGCCCTCTAGTTATTTTTGTTTTGTTTTCTTTTAAGTGGAAAATTTGCCTCATATACACCCATAAATAATAAACTCATAAGCCTTTTCATCATATTCAAAAACTCATAAGCCTTTTCATGGTCAATCAAGGTCCACATTATTGCCGGAAAGCACTATGTTTTGATTTATTTCAAAAGGATTAATCGTAATTGGCTTAGTCTATCCATATTGGGACAGGGGCGGATCCAGCTCCTGAGCTGACTGATGCATACATAAGAACTCGCATTTGTCGGGGGGTCCGGGGGTATCCTCCCCCGGGAAATTTTGAAATCTAGAACCTCGGAAATGCGATTTCCTGCGTTCTGAGCAAAC